CCGCGCGCCTGCGTCGCGTGCGCAGCGATGGGTCGATTCGTCTACGCGCTCCGGCTACTGGAGTGCTGGGCTGCTGGGGTAACCACCCCCATCGACTCGAAAATTGGCCGGTGAGACTGACGGGTTGTTGAGGCCCGGTTCTGTCCCCGCGCAGAGGCGGATCAAGCAATTCGGCAACACCGGATTTCTTCCATTTAAACCTATGTCAAATAATCGATTCTTGTCGGAGCATCTGGCCCCTTTAAGAATCGATACATTCCCATTGGTTTAAATGGAGAAAAACAATGTTGCCAATTTGCTGGTTCCGCCAATGTCCCCGCGAGTAAAGCAAAGTCGATACTATGAAATATACGTCGAGAAACATTCCCAAAGCATGCGCGTGCTTCGGGCATTTAAAAAGTAGGTACATAAATACGTTTTAAAAAATAAATACAATCATAATACTTCGACCTAAAAATAAGGATACTAACAAAATAACTGTAAAATTTACACAAAGTTTTGGTTGAGAAATTGAACATTTCCCCCATAATTATTCCCATTATCCCTCATAATATAACTTTGAATCGAATGACTTCTTAGTTCTTAAGAACTTCACTAATATGCTTTAACGAAATTCAGCTATTAAGACCAACAATAATAATTATTAAAATAAGTATAGTTATTATCATATTTTTAAATCCATTCTGGGTGGTTACAAATAAAATCTCTGTTGAAACTTTTATTATTGAGGCGAAAATGATTCATTATTATTAATTACAATTTAATTATTCCCAACCAACAATAAGGCTGGGCACCGACAAAAACATTGGTGAGGAGGACGTGAATTTATTACATTATAGACTTACGTTTTAGATTTTTTTTTTTTTTTTTTTTTTTTTTTTAAATTTCCGGAGAAAGTCTAGGATGTTGGTGGCAAATACAGGGTCGTCCACTAGGAAGGGGTTTGTATCCTTGTCATCGGTTGGAGTTAAAATCTGTGGATAGAGGTCTTTGAGGGCAGAACAGTCCGGTTTTTTCCCCCCAGAAAATAACAGGAGTATATACATAAAATTGCCTGTGAATATCGTTAGACGAGTGAGGACAATTCACAGAAAAATAGAAAAACTGATCGACTGATTTCCTTTTAAAAAAATGAAACAAGTTTGGAGTCTCGCGACCTCACAATCGGAGCTACGTATTTTTACGAGACATCACGAATCAAAGAGGAGCTTTCGAAACTCTAATACGTCAAACTCTGAAAATGTGATCCTGTGACCTCCCTCGGTAAACAGTTGGCGTTCTGCACACTATTCTTCAAATTATCTGCCTCAATAATTAGCAAAACTGATCCACACAGGTCAGGCAATCCATTTAAACTTAAGGAATAGAATCGATAAACAGGATGTTCGCAACGAACACCTAAATAATCGACTCTTTACTGTACCTTCAAATGGGGAAATATCGATAATCGATCATTCACGCCTCGTCATTGAATGGACAAAAAAATATATTCATCAAAGACTCAGAAACACCTGAGTTGTCTTTAAAAGGCATTCAAACTCCTCATACAGGCAATATATGCGTTTACATTTTCCATTCACTGCATGTCGAACACGCGCAATCGAAGGGTTTATAACAGCCATAAAGTAATTTACACTCTTTAAACAGAGCAACGGAGCATTATTTTCAAGTCTTATATGTCATGCACATAAATGTATTTTCGCACCGATCATGGAGCTTATGAAATCTAATCTAATCATATTGTAACTTTTTCCTGCTTCAGGTAACTTAATGAAGCAAAAAATTCAATGGAGATTTGACCCAAATTTCGCTTTGTTAGTCTTTGTTTAGTTGTCACCATGCTGCTTTGCGAATGTTTCAAGACGATCGGCTTTCTCCTTTATGTTCTGTGCTTGTGAAAATCTTTCATCGTAAACCATATCTGTTAATTTAGACTTGTGTGCCAAGTGAAATCTCGAATCTCACAAGTGTCAATCATTCTTTTTCGTCGTCTCTCCTTTTTTTCTTTTTTTTTTATCGTTGTTGTCGTTGTTTTTTTTTGTTTAAATATTTTAGGAAAGGAAGCAATCGCGGTCTTTCATTTTATTTTGATCTCCTAACGTTCTATTCTACGTAAGTCCAGATCGGCTTGTTACAAAATTATAAAATATTTCATCCACCTAATTGAATAGATTTTTATGCATGTTTCATGAGGTTCAGTTCAGTGGCGTGGCGTGCTTTGCGATATTTCGATTGATCTTCCATATAAACCTAAGGAAAAGCATCGATGAATTGGGTGCTCGCAACGAATGCCTTAATCGATTGTTTACCATAGCAGTGGAACAACAAAGATGAAAAAAACGGGAAACAAGGCTAAAAATACACAATTATGAAACCCGAGACGTTTCGACTCAACACTGAGTCATTTTCAGTCGGAAACAATAAAAAATTTTAAAAGAAAAACGCTAAAAACCTGAGCTCTACATGGTGGGGCCGGGATCTGAGAGAAAAAAAAAAAAAAAAAAAAAAAAAAAAAAAAAAAAAAAAAAAAAAAAAAAAAAAAAAAAAAAAAAAAAAAAAAAAAAAAAAAAAACTTTTGTTTACCATAGCTACTAAGGGGAAATGTCGATTATCGATCATTCACGCCTCGCCACTCTTTCAGTTCATCGGAATGTTTCAAAATTTTTTGAATTCAGTTCAATTAAATACAAGGAGCAACTCAGATTTTTTAATGCGCTAATCTGGATGAATTTTCTCTGCAAAAACCGAGAGTTTAGACTAATCAAATTTAGTGAAATTTCCGAGAAAATCTTCGAGTTACTTCGTCCGTCCGTACAAAAGTGAATCCTCCTCAGCGATATTTTGAGACATTTCGACGATTTTCTCCTTTGTGCAAGAAACATGCCAGACTTTGTAAGTAAATTTGAAAAAAGAAAATCTGGTATAAAAATCGCTTGTCTAATTTTTTGCGATAACTGGAGTGACATATGTTTCCGATTCGAAAGACGCTAGCAGGGATATGATGGTTGTCTATGTATTTAATTTTTAGCGCTAAATTTGCGTTTCACTTCACTTTTTCTCTTTACCCACCAATTTCTATTTTATTTGATCAGAAAAATTCCGTTATCAAATGCGGAGAGGAAAATATTTTTGGCACGCATCACGAGTTTCCCAATAGATTTTAAGCCGCTGAATCTGGAATTGACCTTTTTTCTGTTATGCACCAAATTTCCTCGGTAAAGCCATTTTTTGGAGGGAAACAGGTGGGTACAGGAAAAGAGCTGAAATAATTTTCTGATTCAGCGGTGCGTAATTATATCTGGATTTTCAATGAGAGCATGTCATTTTTCTTAATTTTTTGGTTAATTAAATTAATCAATCCGTCAATTTTCTAAGCATCTTACAGCCCTTATTTGGGAAAAAACGGAGAAAATGTCCGCTCTCACTCTACCAGGTTGGCAGCCTTCCTGCTTCTTGTCACTTGTCGCCTTTGGTCTCACCCTCTACAGCAAACTTGCCCCAAACAGTCGCGTACCAATGATAGAAGACACCTCAGAGGTTGGTACTAGCCTTGATCATACATTTATTAAAAGGATTACGTAGCTATAATGCCGTGCTAAGGGAAAACGCCGTGTGAGCCTTCAGATGTTGCCAATTTTCCTTTCATAAACCTCGAATTTTCGGGAACATTTATAAACATTTTTCGTCCAATTATTCAGGGAATTTCCCTCTTTTGATCTAAATAGTCTAAACATTTCAAGGAAAAATATTGATAACTTTTCTCAAAAATGAACATTCTATCGGAGGCAATATGGCAACTCTTGAATGTCCATATCGACGGTGAAACTACCAAACCACGTATCTCGTTTGCGGTGTTTAAAAATCTACGCTCACATTTTATTTTTTTGAAGTAGACCAAATCAATATCATTCCTTGAAATTTTCACGGAATTTTCTCCGCACAAAGAGGAAAAATCACAGAAATTTTCAAGACTGGATATTTAGTAGTTTTTCATTTAAAAAATAAAGTATGACAGGAAGTCTGCGACGTCGCAAACCGAGATACGTGGTTTGGTAGTTTCACCGTCGATATGGCGTTTTTCCTTAGCACGGCAGTGTAAGTCAAACGCACACCGAACGTTACGCTGCGCTGTTTAGCTGTTGCACGTTGTGTACACTTTGAAGACGGGAAACGGGCAAACGCGACGATTGAAGTGCGCATCGAGGTGTACACGCAATGCATGAAGGATCCATGCCGTTTTGTAGGCACTAACAGCGCGCATGGTGTAGTATGCGCAATGCGTGAAGTATTCGCGCAGTCTTGCAGGCGTTTACATGCGTTTCGGGCTGACCGTAGTGTTCAGCGCTGATCATTCGAACTTGCGCAGCGTCTTTTCAACTTGCGATTTTGAGGTCTTTTGCGCAGGTTTATTTGGTACGGATGTTGGAATGGTGGAAGCTTTTACTTTCGATATTTCAACATTCAATGGACCACTAGACAAGGTACGAATTTAATCATTCTAATACATGTTTCTTGATCAGAATTTCACGTAAAACACGATGCGCACAACGGAAATTACCGAAATCAACTCCTAACGAAGATATTTAATGATTCTTGATGCGTGAATTCAAACCACCCGCTCATGAAAACTCAATGCTCTACGTGACTCAAACATCGCGCGCTAAACGTTATCATGACAGTCTCTGCGATATAAAAATCTGGCAACCTTAATCTTGACGCTTTAGCTCAGCTATAGCAAATTGCTTATAGTTTGAACAACACATGGTGGAAAATGAACATTGCTCGATTGAGAAGCTTGCTGAAACCGTTGTAGTGGGCGATTTGACTCACGTAGAGCTTTGAGTTTCTTGTGAGCGGGCAGTTCAAATTCCTCGTAACCAATGTGTAATAAAAATGTTAATATCTTTGTTAAGAGTTGGATTTAGTAATTTTCGTTGTGTGAATCGTGTTTTACGTGAAATTCTGGTTAAGAAACATGTATCAGATTGCTTAAATTCGTACCTTGTCTAGTGGTCCATTGTTGACCTCACCAGCTAGGTGTATGTTTATCAACGTGTTGAGCATTTTTTTCAACAGGCAAGCTAAAGTTTTGTAAGTTGGTATCGTACATTACGTCAACCGAAGCTCGTTAGCCATCCAGTGGGTGGACCCACAGCCGACACACCCAAGGTAGATTTACACAGGTATGGAAAAGTTGAAAATTTCCCATGAGCCTCAGTACGTGTCACATGACCACGTGACGTAGGTTAAGGGGCCCGTTTTATAATTAAATACAATCAAATTAACATTCAAACGTTTGTGCGTTTAAACGTTAAAATTAATATCGCATTATCAAAATTCTGCAAAAAATCCCACAAAATTTTGACAAACGATAAACCGAACATAATAAATCAAAATAATCAAAACATTCAAAATGGCTGACGTTAAGCGTCAGGCGTTTGGCGTTGGCGTGGCTGGAGAGCCAATCAGAGGCCAGTTGTTAAGTTCTGTCCATACCTGTGTAAATCTACCTTGGACACACCGGTTATCTGTTGCTGCAATACCCACGACTGCACATGAGGAAATTTCTAATTTCTGAAAGAAAAAGTTCCCACTTGTCTCAGATTGGTTTGTGAGGGGTTTCTCTTTGTCTCTGTGTGGTTGCTTTGCGCACCGCCTGTCTATACTTTTGATAACGAAAATATAGGAGAAAAAATGGGAAACAAGGCTAAAAATTACACATAAAAATCCGAGACGTTTCGGTCCAAAACTTAGCCATTTTCCGTCGGACGAAAAAAAACAAAATATAAAAACTCCAAATAGAAACCTGCAGACTAAATGATGGCCAAGAAAATCAAAACAACGTCCATTTGGAATTTTTATATTTTATTTTTATTCTTCCGACTGAAAATGGCTCAGTTTTGGCCCGAAAAGTCTCGGATTTTTATGTGTAATTTTTATAGCCTTATCACACGTTTTTACTCCTATGTTTTTGTTATCTATACTTTTGATGAATTTTAGTTTTGAAGTATAACTAAGGTGATGTAATGATCGTTTTTTTATTAATTTACTTAGGACCTTTCAGCATTTAGCGTCCTAAGTAAATTAATAAACAAGCAGGAAGCTCCAACGCATTCGCGTCGGAAAGCGGCTCTGGCGACGGTAGGTAGTTGTTACGCGTTTACGGTTTCCTTGGTAACCTTTGTTTGCTATCAGCTGATGTCGAGTAGTATGACTGGGAAGCTCCAACCACGGCATTCTCCGAAAAAAGCGCGAAAACTTATAGATTTGAATTTTCAAATTTTAAACGTAAAGTACATTGTTTCCAGTGCGAGATTAAAGCACAGACCCGTTTTGAATTATTGACAGTATCACCATGATTCCAAAAATACACTACACAACATAGCATTCGCTCACAGGAAAAAGATATCAATTAAAATAAAATCAGTCCCCCCTAAACAGCAGAAAATGGCGCCGATTCCCATCAACCAACACGCGGTCTCTCCAATGTAACATGGTCCGTTGATACTCCCCAGCTGGGACCGTCCGGAATAGCAGCTCTAGTGCAAGCACCAGAGCCGCTAAAAACGATCATTACATCACCTTGGTTATACTTCAAAACTAAAATTAAAATGGTGTTGTTCGAATCAAACTTTATTAATTTTGATGAATTGATGATCGATGATACAGGTCGGAAGTGAGTATGATTTCGTCATCATTGGAGGCGGCTCAGCAGGGGCTGTGTTGGCGAATAGGCTCTCCGAGACACGTGAGGCCACGGTACTGGTGCTGGAAGCGGGTGGCCAAGAATCAGATCTGTCCCGGATTCCACTCCTGGCTCCCTCATTGCAGAACACGGACCTCGATTGGCAGTACCGAACAGAGCCGTCTGACGAGCATCACCGTTACTGCTTAGCCATGACCAACAATAGCTGCAAATGGCCTCGTGGAAAGGTTCGCACAGTGACCCCTTCATATGCGATTGCATTCTGACCAGCGGGCTGATTATTGAAATTGATGGGCAAAGCTATAGACAAAGAAGACAAAAAGGGATCCTAATGGTAGAAGCGGGTGGTTGCAATGGAAAAAGGACGCAGGTAATAGAGAAACTAACGGCAAGCGACAAGAGACCTATTAGTTAGTCCATCATTTTCCCCCTTCGTCTGTAAGAACCACCAGTATCAACCAATGGTATTGCTCCATACTCCCTATGTCTTCTTTGTCTATAGCTTTATCTATCAATTTCAATAATCAGCCCGCTGTGTATTTTTGTTTTTTTTTCACCTGCGGGCTGATTATTGAAATTGGTTTGGATTTTTTAATGTTGACGAATCGATATATCGATCGGATATATCGATTTTTTAAGATTCTTTACGGAATCTACTAGTACGGAAAAACACCTAAAGGGTCATGGAGTTTAATGGAACCTCGGTTCATTTTTACGAGTTCTCTGTCCCAATCTTCCTCGGCCCTTCAATTTCTTGTGCGTTATAATATAACGTATCGACGGTGTAAGACTGCAACCTCGCATCATAGTGCATCGCATCGTGAGATTTTCAAACACAGCAAACGAGATAGGTGGTTGCAGACCATAGAGTACATAGACATAGAGTCGTAATGTAAGTGGGAGAGCTGGCGCCACTTTTAAGCATTTTCCATGTCCCGAATTCCGAGACTCCTGTGTGACGCCGGGTCACTTTTTCGATACATAATCGATTGTTTGCGATACACGGGTACCCGGCCATCCGATGACGACAACAACAACAACAACAACAACAAAAAAGGAGATAGGAATTACCACGTATTCCACACCGCCATTTTTGATCGAAAATGTATCGAAAAAGCGACCCGAACTCGGCGCACACCGGGCTCGGAATTCGTCGAGCAGAACATGGCGCTAGCTCTCCCATTTACATTACGACTCTATGTACTCTATGTTGCAGACTTACACCGTCGATATGCCACCAGCCCTAGACACTATTGCGCATATGACTTTTTTTTTTTTAAAAACGCTCAGTGTAGCTGATTTTGCATAGCACTAAAAATTTTGAACAGTTCCCACCAAAAACTTGATTTAAATAAAATTTCGAAGATGATAAAAACGTCCTAAAGTTATTTCTAAAAATCTTACAGGTACATTTCTTGAGGAAGGTAGGTAGAGTGGAGTTCTAAGTAACAGCCCCTTCCTGCGATTCCGTCTGTGTACAAGTAAGTACATGTCTATACATGTTCAATGTAAGTTTCCAACTTCGGACCTTTGTTTTCATCTTTCATTTATTAAAAAAAGGCCGAAGGGTGTGGATTCGGTCAATATGAATTGATCGACGTGATTCGTTCGACTTAAATTCGATCGACAAAATTCGATCGATTCATGAGTTTGCCAATCGATTAACGGATTTGTAGATTGATGTGCGGTTGTTGATTGAATCATGTCGATCGGTTCACGTTTTCATTTTTCATTCATGTTGATCGAATCCATACCCTCCATGACGACCGTGCCGAGGACAAACGCCGTATGAACATTCGAGAGTTGCCAAATTTCCTTCACTAACATGTTTATTTTTGGAGACATTTAAGAATATTTTCCTCTGAAATTTTCAGAGACTATGATTGAAATCGAGAACAAAATTATCCGAAAAATTGGAGGAAAAATACTCATAATTTTCCCGGGAAAGTCGTGTTTTATCAAAAGAAATTTCGCAACGCCTGAAGGTTCATACGGCGTTCTTCCTCAGCACGGGAGACAAGTGTCTTAGAACGTATCCGTGCGCTGGATCCATTGAGTGTCTTCTTTATAAGCACGCGCATAATTGTCTGCAGGTTCTGGGCGGTTCGAGTGTGCTGAACTTCATGCTATATGTGCGCGGGAACAAGAACGACTACGACCTCTGGGAGCAGATGGGTAACCCTGGGTGGGGCTACGAGGAGGTCCTCAAGTACTTCCTCAAATCCGAGAATAACTCCAACGCTGAACTCACCCGGACGCCCTACCACGCCTCCGGGGGCTTGCTCAGCGTCCAGGACATCCCTTGGACATCGCCCTTGGTGGAAACCTTCTTAGAGGCTGGCGAGCACCTCGGCTATCGCACCGGTGACATCAACGGGGAGACCCAAGAGGGCTTCGTCATCCCCCAGGGCACCATCCGCGACGGATCTAGATTCAGCACGGCCAGGGCTTTCCTCGTTCCCGCGCGAATACGCCCCAATATGGACATCTCAATGCGCAGCCACGTCACCAAGATAGGTAACGATATAAATTTCCCCTCGAATCCTCTATACAATGTTGCCCCACACTGCTAGAAATGTTGGAATGAAATTGGGAATGCACCGAGAAAAAAGATTAGTAGAATTTACCATTCCTTTATACTGTATTTTACACAGCATGAATTCAAAGTCGATTCTGCCAGAGGAATGGTTACTTGCATCAGAATATAGTAGCGTTTACCTTTCTTCTGGCAGAATTGACTCTGAATTGGACCGCGTTAAACAGAAAGGAACCAAGCCACATCAGCTTTTGCCAAATTTAATCGGCTAATTAAATATTTTACATGAAAACAGTTGTGCAGATTTTCGTGCAAATTTCGGTGAATTTCCTCCATAGTACAAAGCAAATTCCTTAACATTTTCAAAGGGATCCGTGCAAACGTTTTCTCGAAAAAAAAATAAATTGCTCAGTTAAAATTGGCAATAGCTGATGTGGCTTGGATCCTTTCTGTTAAACGCGGACCAATTGGCGCTGTGTGAAATAGCCGCTATTAGTGGCACCACTAATAGCGGCTATACAGCGTGAAGGAATGGTCAATTATACCAATCTTTTTTCTCGGTGATGCATTTTACTTCGGAGCCTTTCTTGCCCCCAGAGAGCCCGAGTGCTATGAATAGAATACTTAAGGAGCTCCACAAAAATAGTAAGTTCCGCTCTGCACTTGTGTCACTCGGGGGTTTATGTTGTTTTTTGAAGGGGGAGAGGGGTGAACTAGACCCTGGGGTTAAATGCATTCTTATTTCATTCCGAAAAGTTTAAAATTATACATTTATTTTCAAATATATGCATTTATCTTTTAACTTTCGACCATTCCACATTTTGCGACCGCTATTATCGACCAGATGATGGACTAAAAATAAGTCTGAAATTGTCATAGTCTAAATCCAACAAATCAACAAATCAGAACCAAAAAATTGTAAAAGTGAGTCTAAATCTGGGTACTTGAACGAACCTGATATACAGATGAAATCATTCAAAGTAAATAATACATCATGTTTTGCTTTAAAATGATAATTGCGCTGTTTAAAATGATTTGATGGACGCTATATTTTGTGTCAGAACGACATGCAATACCTATATTGCATCAATTTTTTTCATTTTGTCAGCTATTTGTCATTTTCCTCGAATTTTGAGATCGCAATTCTGTCGTCAGGAGACTAAAGAATTCACTTACCAATTTTGACGAACAAATACAACGTAATTAAGGTGTCGCTTTCTTAAAAGAAAAAAAATAGCATTCGATACTGATATCGAAACTGCACTCGAATGCGATATTTTCTCTCTAAAAAAACCACGCCTATATTACGTTGAATGGAGAATTTGCATGCAAATTTTGTATTGCTTCATCTGAAAGTGCTTAAAGAGCTAATTTCACAGTATTTTTTATAATTCTTTTCTGATATCGGAAAGACTATACAAATAGCTTCAAAAGAGAGAAAACGCACCGCCTAGTGACGTCATCTGGCGGAATTTCCCATTTAAACACACGTATTTTAGCAGATTAGATCATTTTGTCGTATCTTCTCCAATAATTGTTCAATTCATGAACCAAGAGCATCCTCATCTTCATTCCACTCAGCAGTTTTCACTTATACACGAAATTCATCAAATTTCAGACACCTGCAAATTCTCCATTTGTTGGCAAAATTGGTAAGTGAATTCTTTAGTCTCCTGACGACAAATTCATCAAATTTCAGACACCTGCAAATTCTCCATTTGTTGGCAAAATTGGTAAGTGAATTCTTTAGTCTCCTGACGACAGAATTGCGATCTCAAAATTCGAAGAAAATGATGAGTACTTAGCTGAAAAGATGGAACCAATCGCAATATATCGCACGTCGTTTCAACACAAAATATGGCGTCCATTGAATCGCCTTAATCTATTTACATTTGCCTGCATTTATCTGTCCAGGTTTTGAGGGAGGCGAAAGTCCCAAAGCAAGCTCCGTGTCTTTCACGAAGAACGGTCGAGAGTACACGGTGCGAGCCAAAAGGGAAGTGATCCTATCCGCGGGCTCGGTCAGCTCGCCCCAGATCCTCATGCTGTCCGGCATCGGGCCGAAGGATCATCTGGAGTCCCTCGGGATCGAGGTCGTCAAAGACCTCCCGGTGGGTCTGAACCTACAGGACCATCTGAGCGTCGGCACGTTGACCTTCCGAGCGGACGAAAACGTGACCATAACCCCCTCGGTGGCTTTCACCCCCGAAGCGCTGATGGAATACCTGACAGCGGGATCTGGGCCCCTAACCTCGTTAGGCGCCTGCGAGGGGCTCGCCTTCGTCTCCACGAAATACGCCGGCAAATGGCCGGACATCGAGTTTCACCTCGTCCCGTCGAGTATGTACGTCACAGACACCAAGCCGATCGGAAACAGGATGTATAATTTACGCACCGATCTTTACAACGGCACCGAATTCGAGAAACTGAGTGGCTACCTGTTTACGATCTACCCGCTTCTGTTACGCCCGAAGAGTAGAGGGCAAATCCGACTTCGGAGCAGTGACCCGTTCGCGCACCCGATCATCGAGCCCAACTACCTCGCCGAGCGGGAGGACGCTGACGTTCTCGTCGACGGGATGAAGATAGCGCTGCGGTTGATGGAGACGCCGCCTTTCAGGAAGTTGAACGCGCGGCCTTTGGCGATTCCGTTCCCGGGCTGCGAGGACCACGAGCTTTTCTCGAACGAATATCTCGAGTGTTGCATCCGGCATTTTACGGTGACGTTCTACCACCCGACGTCGACTTGCTCGATGGGCAAAGTGGTCGATCATCGGCTCAAGGTCATCGGGGTCGAGGGGTTGAGGGTCGTCGATGCTAGCGTCATGCCGACTGTCGTCAGCGGGAACACCAACGCGCCGACGATAATGATCGCAGAGAAGGGGGCAGATATGATCAAAGAGGACTGTAAAGGGTACTGCTAAGATTTGAGGTTGAATCGTTCTTAAAGTGTCGACTTACAGCCAAAATGGTCCTCAAGTGGACTATTTCTGCCGAGAACCAGAGACATCGATCGAGATCGTATTGGAACCAGAGACAGGTGGGAAAGAGGGATTGTGGTCGTTAGTTGAGGGCCGTAAGAATGGATGGGAATAATAAAGCGCCAGTGACGTCAGCGGCGACGACCGTGCTCGACGTGCTCAAAAATGCCGTATTAACTCATGTGCCCTGTTCACTACGCTCTTGTCATATAGCCAAGGCTCATAAGTACCGCATACAGGAGGCGCTTGGTTGTCGCCGTTTATTTTTCATTTTGGGTTTACTTTTATTTTTAGCGAGTTTCACTTCATTTGTAAAAAAAAGAAGAAAAAAAAACATACAATAATATAAGTTTTATTGATTTAATAATATTTTAGTGGTTTTTTTGTCCACGGGAAATTTCTAAGACTAAAACTTAAAATAGTAGTGCCTTAAATTATATTTCCAAGTATAGTTTGACGTAATTTTTACAAGAAAATATATAGCAGACTCCCTGGCACACACAACGCAATTGATTTAAAAATTGCTCTGCTCCTTCGGCAGACTATTCTGTATATATTTCAAGCAATAAAGTTATCTTCTCTCTCATTAGAAAAAATTAAAAAAATGAGTGAACAACAAGCCGGAAAATTTCCGCAATCCTTCGATCCCATGATTGCAGGTCTGCGGTGTAAACACCAATAGGCAACGAGGAACCCTACATTAACTCTTAACCGTGGTAATAACGTATTTTATTAATAAATTCAACCTTTCTGCTCATAGAAGAAAGAATAAGTTACTAGGGTTGAATTGCACACCAAAAGTCACTATGACAGTCTCAGTAGTATGAAAATATAGTAACATCAATCTTGACGCTAAGCTCAAGCTGTACACACTTTGAATTCAGTTCCCATAACCAATGGACAATAAACACGTTAAAAGCTTAGCTAAAAGTTGATTTCAGTGGTTTTCGTCGCGCGAATCGTGTTCTGAATGAAATTTTGTTGAAGAATCATGTATCAGAGTGCTTAAATTCTTAACTTGCTTAATGGACCATTCAATCTAAAAAAGCGAACATAGAAAACTTTTCTAACTTTTCTCAGAAAAAATGTTTCATCGGGAGAAACGAAGCAACGTTGCTCATACGGCGTTAAAACGCAACATGGGCCTTTTAAATCCCATTTTTTGATGCCGCGATTATCCTAACGCGAGTTCGAATAATCGCGCCGAACACGGTGCGGTCGGTGTCAAACTCATTTCAGTGCCTGCAAGACTGTAGGAATACTTTACGCATTGCGCCAAACAGTGCGGTCGGCGTTAAACGCATATTAGCGCCTACAAGACTGTAGGAATACTTCTCGCATTGCACCAAACGCACTGCGAGAGTTATTTGCGATAACCACTCGATCACGGGTGTAAGAGGCATATTGCCACTAACTGGATTGAAGACGCATCACATTGTGAAGATGACTTGACAATCGACTGAGTTCCCTTCCCTGGCTTGTGCGGAGGCCCGCCACATCCCATCTCGGGCCCTGGTACCTGTTTTAAGGTCCGGGCCCCAAGTACGGAGGGGGGGGGGTCCGAGGGGCATCCCCCGAGAAATTTTAGAATTTATACGACTAATCAGACGCATTTTGAAGCTTCCATAAAGAATTTTTCCATCNTTCTCAGATCGTCTATAGTTTCGTTTAGCAAAAATAAGTCCAAGTTTAAGAGAGAGAAGTCAATGAGCCGACTGAAATCACGTGTTTCGGTTTGTGAAATCGAAGACTTACATGTCGTCCTTTATTTTTGAGCAAGACTACTTGGGTCCGTTGCAAACTTTTGAAAGAGCAAGATGAGTTTGGCAGAGTTGAGTATGATGAGTTTGAGAATTATGCAGTAGCTGATGTGGCTTGGTCTCTTTTTGATTAACACGGTCCAATTGTAGAAAAATCAAGGGAAAAAAGAGAATTACTAAGATTAGATATGACGGAGTCAGGGAAAGGGGCCTCAAGGTGGCGGAAGGGAACATGAGATAACTAATTATTAACTATGCCGCAGACTAAAGAGGGTAATTTGGACTACATTTTGCAATTAGGAAGTATAAATTCCGGCCCGGTTTAAAAACAACGTATGTGCCATTAGTTTCCCTATGCACGTACGTGTTTTTCAGATGAGCCAGAATTTATAGGTCCAAATTGCAAAATGCCGTCCATTTGGTATTGAAAGTGGTTAGTATCGGAAACTAAAAATTGGCTTTTTAAATACCCTTGAATGATTTTTTCGCTGTACGTTTACGTAATGAACAGTTTGAGTTTTTATCTGAAGGTGAATTTTGCCTGACTTCGCCATAATTTATTTTTCATTTTGGGTTTACTTTTATTTTTAGTAAGTTTCACTTCATTTGTAAAAAAAAAAGAAAAAAACAAACAATGATGTAAGTGTAATTCATTTAATATTATTTTAGTGAATTTTTAGTCCACGGGAAATTTCCAAGACTAAAACTCAAAATAGTAGTGCCTTAAATTATGTTTTTAAATATCGTTTGACGTAATACTTTTACAAGAAAATATTATTTAGCAGACTCCCTGTCACACTCAACGCAATTTATTTAAAATTATCATAATTTTTCTTCTCCTTCGGGAGACTATTCTGTATATATTTCAAGCAATAAAGTTAGCTTCTTTCTCATTAAAAAAAAAAAAAAAAAAAGCTGGAAAATTTCCGCAATCCTTCGATCCCAAGATTGCAGGCTCACGGTGTGAACACTACTAGGTAACGAGGATATCCTAACCTTACATTATCTCCTAACCTTGGTAATAACGTCTTTTATGAATGAATTCAACCTTTCCGCTCATGGAAGAAAGAATAATTTACTAGGGTTAAATTGCAACGTCACTATGACAGCCTCAGTATTATGAAAATATGGCAACATCATCAATCTTGACGCTAAGCTCAAGCTGCACACACACTGAATGCAGTTCCCATAACCGATGGACAATAAAAACGTTAATAGCTTAGCTGGAAGTTGATTCCAGTAGTTTTTGTCGCGCGAATCGTGTTCTGCGTGAAATTCTGTTGAATAATCATATATCAGAGTGCTTAAATACTTAACTTGTTTAATGACCCATTTAATCTAAATAAGCGAACATAGAAAACTTTTCTAACTTTCCTCAAAAATAAAAAGTTTTATCGGGAGAAACGAGGCAACGTTGGACTGCTCATACGGCGTCGAAACACAGCATGGGCATGGGCTTAAGCCTCATTTTTCGATGCCGCGATTCTCCTAACGCGAGTTCGAATAATCGTGCCGAACACGGTTGCGGTCGGTATTAAACTCATATCAGCGCCTACAAGCCTGCATGAATACTTCTCGCATTGCACCAAACGCAATGCGAGAGTTATTTGCGATAACTACCCAATCACTGGTTTAAGCACTTTGCCGCTAACTGGATTGAAGACGCATTACATCGTGAAGATGACTCGACACTCGACTGAGTTCCCTCCCCTGGCTTGCGCGACGCTAAAATCGCCGCAAAACTAGGACCACGCGTCATTTCTTTTGACGGCCCCTGCCCGATTTTTGCCACAATTAAAGGGTAAATAAGTATCATAATTGCAATGATTCAGCAACTCGGACGATGTTTAAACGATGCAGCGATTCTGAAATTTGATTCGCGTAAAATTAATTTTGGTTTAATAAAAAGAAAACAGGACGAACGGAAATATCGGGACGAAATTTTTTGTGAATTTATTTCGAATCATTCCGGGAATTCCTCCGAAAATTCTACAAAAACTGTGTGTAGCTCTTTAAAAAAAAGAATTGATTAAAACAAAAAAAATGAGTAGAGATATGTAACGTTGCAATCGGAGATAAGAACACTTTTTTCCGCGTGCAGGCGTCGATTTTTGATTTCATTTACGGCAGGCGTAACGAGATAACTATTCGACCATGGGTGTGGGTATATTGCCGCTAGCCGAATGGAAGGCGCGTCACACTCAGAGTCACACTGCAAAGATGCCTCCACCGCGTTCCCTTCCCTGGATCACGCGACGCTAAAGTCACCGTTAAACTAGGATTACGTGTCATCATTCTTGCCTTTCTGCGTCGGTTTTTACAATAAGTAAAGGAAAATATGTGTCCTCATTGTAACTATTCAGAAACTCGGAGGATATTTAATTTTGTTTTTTGGTTAAATAAAAAGAAAATAGAATTAACGAAAATATCGCGTCAAAATTTTCGATGCTCACATTTGAGATTATTTAGCAAAGTTCGTTCCTTCTCAAACGTTCTCAAACTCTTCCATTTCATCTCAAGTAGTAATATAGCAATTTAAAAAAAAATTTAAAAAAAAAACTCTTAAAAAAACCACCAAAATTATCATATTAGGAAATCGGGTGGTCTATTGATAATTGGAATAGTTTTGTCGCCGTAACAGACCAAACATTTTTCCGTTATATTTTTAGCAGTAAAGATAATCACTCGAATGTTTTTCATTAATCTACACAGGGTTACGTGTTATAACGCTTTTCAACGATTTATCGCTCTACTTTTCAATTTTAATACTTAAATATCCGAAAATGTGCTATCTGTTAAACTGACTTTTAACTGCGTAATAACAGACAGCACATTTTCGGAATTTGCGTAATATTAATTGAGAAGTAGAGCAATAAATCATCAGAAGGTGCTATAATACGTAAACCTTTGAAGATTAATGCGAAAAAATTTGAGTGATTATCATTACTACTAAAAATATGACCGAAAAATGTGTTGTCTGTTACGGTGACAAAGCTATTCCAGCTATAGTAAAACCACCCTTAGACTATTTTTTAAAGTAAAATTTATGAGAGGAGAAATGTAATTAAAATTGAAGGAAAAAAGTCCTCAAACACTCTAAAAATATCACTGTAGTTTCAAGCTTTTTTCTAACGTTTTTAATGTTGAAAAACCACAGTTGGTATTTTGAGAGTTTTTAACACTTTTTCACTAAAATTTTACCAATATTTTACCTCTCGTAACTTTTACTAAAAAAAAAAAAAAAAAAAAACCCCGAAAAGAGCTTTCTAAAACGAACATTCTAACAGTTTTTTCTGAGAGTTGTCCTCTAGAAATTGAAGAGTTCTTTACAGCTTTTTTAACATCCGTTGATACTAAGAATATTTTTCTAAAATAAAAAAGAACTTTGTACTTTTTTTAAAAAAAAATTTGTAGAGATTTCTTGGCTCGCGCGGTGAAATTCGGCGAAGCCCATCTCACAACGCGAGCAACGAACAGCGAGCGCGAACATTCTCCCGCTTGGGCCAGGTCAGTATCGGGACCCGGGAACGCGCCAGAAATATCGCGAAAACCCCGCTCAATCCTCCCGCCGTAGCGCGCTTCGTCGTGGTTACGGCCGCCGAACGTTCTCGAAGCTCAACGAGAGCCTCGAACGCTGCCGAAGAGTCCCGAAGCGGCTCTAGAACGCTCGAGAAGAATCCGATGATACCCGAAGCGTATATAAAAGCGCTCGCTGCGCTCTGCGGGTCAGTGTTGAACTAGCAATCGCGGACGAAATTCAAACTGCGGAAAGCGACTCAAGCGAGCGTCAAGCGTTATATTTCGTGTTGTAAAAGTGTCTATTTACCTCTCAAGTGTACGCTAAGTTATTGCGTGTGTTCCATCGTGTAATTGTGTGTGCCTCAAACTCCAACTTACACGCGCCGTTTTGAACAATCTTCTTTCGTTGAGTGAAGTGTAAATCAGATCAGTGAAAAAATGGTGAAAGCACCCGCTATCGGAATTGACCTCGGCACCACCTACTCGTGCGTGGGTGTGTGGCAGCAGGGAAAAGTGGAAATTATCGCCAACGACCAAGGAAATCGCACCACGCCGAGTTACGTCGCATTTTCGGACACGGAGCGGCTGATCGGCGATGCGGCCAAGAACCAAGTCGCCATGAACCCACAGAACACAATTTTCGATGCCAAGCGTCTAATCGGCCGTCGCTATGATGATCCGAAAATTCAAGACGACATGAAGCACTGGCCGTTCAAAGTCATCAACGACTGTGGGAAACCCAAACTTCAAGTCGAGTTCAAAGGCGAAACGAAAACCTTCGCCCCCGAAGAAGTCAGCTCCATGGTCCTCACCAAGATGAAAGAAACAGCCGAAGCATTTTTGGGCGGCCAAGTCAAAGACGCGGTCATCACTGTTCCAGCCTACTTCAACGACTCACAGAGGCAAGCGACCAAAGATGCCGGTGCCATTGCCGGACTCAATGTTTTGCGGATCATCAACGAGCCCACTGCCGCAGCCCTTGCCTATGGTCTGGACAAGAACCTGAAAGGTGAGCGTAACGTTTTAATTTTCGACCTTGGCGGTGGCACATTCGATGTCTCCATCCTGACAATCGATGAAGGCTCATTATTCGAAGTTCGTGCCACTGCTGGAGACACTCACCTTGGAGGCGAGGACTTCGACAATCGTCTTGTGAACCACCTAGCGGAGGAATTCAAACGCAAGTACCGTAAAGATCTTCGCGGCAACAACAGAGCACTCCGGCGTCTACGAACAGCTGCCGAGCGGGCCAAACGAACTCTTTCCTCCAGCACAGAGGCCAGCATTGAGATCGATGCACTCATGGATGGCATTGACTACTACACCAAAGTGTCCCGTGCCAGGTTCGAAGAACTTTGCTCTGACCTCTTCCGCTCAACCCTCCACCCAGTTGAGAAAGCCCTGGCTGATGCGAAAATGGATAAAGGCTCCATTCATGATGTCGTCCTTGTAGGGGGCTCCACTCGCATTCCCAAGATCCAATCTTTGCTTCAGAACTTCTTCTGTGGAAAAACTCTAAACCTCTCTATCAACCCGGACGAGGCGGTGGCCTACGGAGCAGCAGTCCAGGCGGCAATTCTTAGCGGCGACACCAGCTCAGCAATTCAAGATGTTCTCCTGGTGGATGTGGCGCCTCTATCTCTCGGCATTGAAACTGCTGGTGGCGTCATGACCAAAATAGTCGAGCGCAATGCACGTATTCCATGCAAGCAGTCTCAGACCTTCACGACGTATTCAGATAACCAACCAGCTGTCACCATCCAGGTCTATGAAGGTGAGCGAGCAATGACGAAGGACAACAATCTACTCGGCACCTTCGATTTGACAGGCATACCACCAGCTCCACGGGGTGTGCCAAAGATTGACGTCACGTTCGATCTTGATGCCAACGGTATCCTCAACGTTTCGGCCAAGGAAAACAGCACGGGTAAATCCAAAAATATCGTCATCAAGAATGACAAAGGACGACTGTCGCGAGAAGAAATCGACCGCATGGTGAACGAAGCGGAGAAGTACAAAGAGGAGGATGAGAGACAACGCGCCAAGATAGCTGCCAGGAATCAATTGGAAAGCTATGTATTCAACGTCAAACAAGCAGTTGATGAGGCAGGAGATAAGCTTCCCGAGTCGGACAAACAGTTGGTGCGCGATGAGTGCCAAGCCGCGCTCTCCTGGCTGGACAACAACACCCTCGCCGATGTGGAGGAATTCAACTACAAGCTCCAGGAGGTTCAGAAGAAGTGCTCGCCCATCATGAGCAAGATGCACGGTGCAGGTCAAGGAGGCATGCCTGGAGGAATGGGAGGTATGCCCGGAGGAATGGGAGGCATGCCTGGAGGATTCCCTGGAGGCATGCCCGGACAAGGAGGACAAGGCCCAACTGTTGAAGAAGTGGACTAAACTCATCATTCCAGAAATACATGCAACATGAGACATAATCTAATTGTTTGCAGTTTATCCGTAAATTGCATCAAAGAGGTGATATTCATTTTGCTTATACTAAGTATTTAATCAAATCTAGTCATGTTTTACGAGTTTTGAGCTCTAAATCAATTGAAACGCATTATTTTTGTAAATATTGTAAATAATCTGAAGATTAGTGATTTCTCAACTTCAATGAACATTCTTGTGCTACTCGAGCACATTTTTCCGCATTGGATCCATCCATGCCGATAATTTTTGTGAAGACTGATTATTGTTAATTTTAATTTATTTAATAAATGAAGACCTAGACAATGGTCAAATTTGAAAATCAAGTCTTTTTTTTGTCAGTGACCAAACTGTTAGGTGTAAAAATGATGTGACTTCATTATAATTTTTCAAAACTTCCGCAGACTGAAGTTTGCTGTTGAGTTATTCTACTTTTCTTGGCCATAATTTGTGCATTTCTCTTTGCTGCGTGTAAAATTTCCATGAAATATTGCAAGAGGACCTGTGGGAAATTGTTTTATGCGAAAATAAAATGTCGGTGGAAGTTTTGAAATGACAGGTATTCAAGTTCAAGAAATCAATACAGCAAATGAAAAATAGAAATGATGAACTGTTTGATTGTGTTAGATTTTCATTACATCTCAACATTTAATTCTTTCAACCATTTATTTTAAGTTTTATGATAAAAAAAAAAAAAACAGATTTAGGCTCATTTTGCACTTTTACAAGTTTTGCTGTTTTGATTTTTTGAAGCTGGAGAATTAGTTCACCCCTCCTCATTGTTGCAAATTCAATTTATACTGCTTCACCTAGATTTTGAAAGGAACGATCTCAATACGAAATATTAATGATAATAAAAAAAATATTCACATGATCATCAAGCATGAGCAATACATTTAATTTTAATCACCAAATGAAGTAAAATAATCTGACGAAAAGATATGATGAGCATATAGGCCAATTGGCAGAAACTAAATCCGAAATCATGTGAAAGATAAAATAACGTGGGATAGGAATACTTTAGCAAATGGGGAAGTAGGTAACCAAAATGATTTGGCAAGTTGCAGAAAAGCAAGAGTTGGCAATAGAATAGTCAGCACTGAACATTTTGCGATTTTGACTTTTAAGTGCTATCTTAATTCATAACTTCCACCACTTTCACTTCTTTTGATCTTTTAAGTTCGCCTTGAACCATCATTTGAATGTTCATACAAATATTCTTTCTCATTTAGTGCAAGTTTCATTCAAGGGGGTAGATGAGGGACAGAGTGAGAGAGCGTGATTATATAAGATGCTAACTTTTGATGAGGTACTTAGATAGATATCATCAAAATACACTTCCAACTCGAGGTTTAACATATTATGCATTAAATTACAACAAGCTGCATTCAGCCACAGTAACTGATAAACCTTCTCATGAGAAATCTTGTCTTATATGAATAACGATGAATAAACTGCAAAAACTCATATCTCGTCGGCGGTATTTCAAAATCACCTTTAAAATTTTCGCTGTGAATTTTTTACGCAGAGAAGAAAACGGAGGGAAGTTTTTAAGAAATTATTTGAAGTATCTTCTCATTCATTGAATTTGATTTCATTTTGCAAAAATGAATCAAGAGCGTTCTAATATCTCTAGGGCCGTGCTTCTTTGCGAGAAAAATTACCGAAATCATGCAAAAATTAAATTGAGAAAGTGATTTTCGTCTTGAATTAATAGTCTATTGGGAGTAATAAAAGTTATAAAACTTGTTAAGATGATCAGTTTATAATTGGAAGGTAACACAAGTTGCACAAGCTTAGCGACATTGGAATGCTCTTGGTTCCTTTTTGTAAAATGCAACCCAATTAAGACTGGAGGTCAGCAGTGTCTGTAACTGAGATACGTGTTTTTTGCAGTTTCACCGTCGATGACGTCGTCAGTCGGTCGATGGGTAAGGCCGGAAAGTGTGCATTTCAATTTTAGTGTTTCAAAATCTCGTAACGAATTTTGGAATGAGGAAATACACACAAAGTAAGTCACATGAATATGATATTTTCTTTTCGTAAAAAATAAATGTAAAGGAGGTTTCATCAGATTTTTGTGATTGCTAGCGGTCGCGGCGTCGCCCGTACATTTTTTAATACTAAATTTTCAATATGTAGCCCTCTTGCCTCATAGTATTCCAATCTTAAAACCTAAATCCTAAATCCTGGATCCAATTCTAAAAACGACTAACCCTGGCTCAAATTCCTTTATTCACAAAATTGCTTTACAAAGTGTTTTTTTTTTACATCTGACAAAGTTTTTTTTACGTTGGGCATACAAATAGTAGGATCAGCACAACATACATCAAACGTAGCTAAATTCCTCTCAAATTTTTTTTGACAAAAAATGAAGTTATAACGTGCCACGTTCAGGGATAAATGGATTGCGTTAAACAGAAAGGAACCAAGCCACATCAGCTATTGCCAAATTTAATAAAGCAATTTAATTTTTTACAAGAGAACGATTTTGCGGATTCTTTTGACATTTTTGAGGAATTTGCTTCGTACTGCTCAGAAAATTCACTAAAATTCGCAGAAAAATCCGCACAACCGTTTTCAGGTAAAAAATTAAATTGCCCAATTCAATGTGGCAATAGCTGATGTGGCTTGGTTCCTTTCTGTTTAACGCGGTCCAAATATTCTTGGATTAAAATATATTTTTACTAGCTCTGTTGTCATGAAAATGGAAAAAATTGCTCACAGCTCACAAACTAGAGAATGATTTCTGCGAAGAGCACAGTTTCCGATTTATCAAGCCAATGCCACAAAAATCAATCTCTCAAGAAATCCATATTCGTCCACTGATGAGGTCAATTGCTCACGATTATTGATTGGGGCCTCTTGTTCTTGCATCAATTAACTGCTTGAAATCTGTGATGTCCGTGGCAGAAGTGCGACAGCAGCCCCCGATGTACCGGACACCTAACTCAAGCCATTCTGAAACGTAATCTGTGAGAGGTTTGACTTTGTTTCCATCTTGAGCAACCCACCTAAAACACACAGGCGTAGGAACAAAAATATTACTGCTAAGCATTGCTAGATAACCAACTGAACTTACGAACATAACATTAGGTAGATATTATGAAATACTAGAAAGGTACGCCCCTATCCCTCGGGGAGCGCGCAAGCCAGCGTCACGGACTGCCTTACTTGAAAGGGATGAAAAAGATAAAAAAAAATCCCCAAAAACAACTAATAGCTGCGCCTGCATGATGTTTATTGAATGATATCACTCTTGATTGCCCTCAACTTACGAAAGCGCAATAATGAAAATAAATATATCAGAGACTTATTTTCTATTGAGCCCCTGGCCGTTGTCAACTCATAACGGAACCAATTGGCCCTGATATTGACGTGTTGGGTACAAGAGGGCTTAGACCAAAAAAAATCACTTTTTAGAAAAACTTCTGAATGGTTTTTTTCATTTTTGTAAATTACGTAAGAATGAATATGATATTTTAAAAAAGGTCTCGAATTCAAGTTCCCAGAGATGTTATACTTGAAAAAGAGGAGACCTACATCGACGATGCAAGTCCGCACGTATCTCGGTTTGCGACCTTGCAGAATTTCTGTTATACTTTATTATTTATTTATTTATTCATTTATTATTTTTTTTTTTTAAAAACCAACTTTACTTCTTAAATTGAAAACTACTCATTGGCAATGCTTAAAAACTGCCGTGATTTTTCTCTCTGTACGAAGAAAATTCTGTGAAAGCGTCAATGAATAATGTCGATTTGTTCTCCTTTAAAAAAATATAAAAAGAGAGGAGATTCTCAAACACTGCAAATGAGATGCGTGATTTCGGACTTACACCATCGAAATACTTGTGCAAATGTAAACTCTGATAACATAGGCTGGTAGCGAGCCTATCACGCAAGGAGGGGATTACATCGAGTCGAGTGCTAAAGCGACTCGAGCATGAAGTGCCTTCAAAACGGTAGAATGCAACTTTGCTATCTCTAGCGGATGGCTTCGCCTCTATGCTGAGACATAACTACGATTCTCCAATCAGATTTCGAAAGTTTTTTCATACATATTACTCTAGAACAAGATGCCATAGTTCTTCTTCTACATACTTCGTTTTTCCATAGGAAAAAGCGACGTATAGGGAACTGCAGCTATCATCTCTTCTGTCAAAGAGGCGCAATTTAAAGGTATTTTCAATACCTCTTTCATTTTTACAGGACGAGAGAAAAATTCTCGGCAGGATTGTGACAATAAATGTTCGATGAATCATAAATAAACAAGTCAAATGTGAATATTACTATGCTTACTTGTGATTTACGTCATCCCAGAGTTCACCATTATTCGGATACACAATAGTGGGGATTTTTTCCACAATGGGAGAGATAAGAGGTGTGACAAAATTTGGATTGACACAGTTTACTCCAATAGCGATAATCTGATCTGGATTTTTGCACCAGACAGAATTAGCAGCTGTTACAAAATCATCACCACTTGATAAATGAGATTCATCCTGGGGGAAAAAATTCAGTTATTATTTACATAACTCTCTTATTTTGTTTAAGTGACAAATCAATCCCAACACGTGTATAAAAAGCGCAGCGCAGTAGCATGCATTTTCCGCTGGTGGAGATTTTGCGTCCATTCACTGCTCTGCCGTGCTAAGGAAAAACGCCGTATGAACATTTGAGAGTTGCCAAATTTCCCTGGGTAAAATATGCATTTTTTGAGGAAAGTTATGCATTTTTTGAAGAAAGTTAAACATATTTTCCCTTGAAATTATCGGATATTCTAGATTAAATTGCGGGAAAAATTGTCTGAAAGATTTAAGGAAAAATGATAAAACTTGTCTCGGTAAATTCGTTATTTATTGAAGGAGATATGGCAACTACTGAAGGTTCATACGGCCTTTTCCTTAGCAGGGCAGTGTTGTACTCGGTACATGTGCAGATGTTCGCCTCCGCTGTGCACAGGTAAGCAATCTTTCCACTTAACAGCACGTTTATTTATATCTTTTTTTTTTCGTATTTTACTTATTGAGGGCAATTGAAAAAAAAACAGCAGCCTAATTGACAATTTAGGAGAAAAACAGCTTGTAACTTTGCCGCAGTCTACAGTATAAAATACGCAAGCTGATGATTTTAGTTTTTTTTTCCAATTCTGTAGAAGAGCGCTTCAATGACGCTGTAATGTATGGAAAAAAAAATTGCAAAAACCTTTACATTACAAAAATGACGAAGTTTTCTCTTCGTGCTGCAAAATCGTTAGTTCGCAGATAGACGGCTCTATTCGTTAGCCATTGATATGTGCACAGAGTGCCAAACGCGGCATGCGGCGCCAGTGTGGCAACCTCAGTGTGTACTTGTACGTTCATATGTTCGCCTTCACTGGGAATTGGTAGGCAATTTCTCGACGTAGGAGCACGTTGATTTGTATCCTGTTTTTTCTCGTATTTTACAAATCAATGGCTAAAGAACAATACCGCCCATCTGCCAACTGACGATTTTACAGTACAAAGAAGAAGACTCGCTAATTTTGGAATTTTGTTGTTAGAATTACAATTTTTTCAATACATAACAGCGTCTATACAGCGCGTCGACTATACTATATGCGACGCGACGTCACAAACCGAGTTATGTGATTGCCCACTTACACTGTCAATTTAGAACAGAGAAATGTGTTACCTTCACTGAAAATGATATCCAAGCTTTGATGTTTGGAAATTTTTTGAGGAGTTCAGCAAGAGCTTCTGCTTCGGCTTGTGTCGGTATTGTCTCAAAGGCAATAAGGTCTACTCCGGCATCAACTAGAGCCCTCAGTTTTTGCTCATGATAAGACACAATTGTGTCAAGGCTCACTTTATCCATAAAATCACCTCGGTACTCAGACCCATCATGAAGATAGGCGCCATAAGAGCCGCAAGACCCCGCAACTAAAACTAAATTAAATCACGTTATACTAAAACGTCAGTAATATACGTATTTCTGGCATTTTTTAGTTTTTTAAGATACATCATTTGTGAGTGCTACAAGCTGGTGGAAGTGGTGTCGGTTATAGGACATTTGGTCAACGATTTTTTGTCCGCGCACCTGTTTTTTTTCAGTAATTTACGTCCATGCGTTTTTTCGGCACGGGAGTTTTGGTCCACGTGCCAGTTGAGACCCAAAGTTAATTGGCCCACATGTAAATACAAACGACAATTGCTCACGACATTTTTAGATGAAAATGTATAATGTCTTGGAAGAATGGGGGTTTGCTTGTTTTATTGTTTTGTCTGTTTGGTCCAACGGAGAGTAATATATAGTTGAGAGTTTTGGTAAAAATGGGGGAGCGTGAATTCCATGAGACAAAATTCACTAAAACTCTCTACACCTCTTTGGTGTAACAGGACTTAATTATTTCTCAAGAAATTCCCACCTGAACCGGATAAACCTCTATTTGCCTCCGCTAAAGGCTCTTAGATTTTTCCTGTGTACGATAAGTATCTTGATTTATTTTGCGAGGAAAGATCTGTACTTTTAAAGGATGCCTGTCATTCTTAATACGTTCAATTTCGTATAATACTGTGCAACAACTTTGTTGTGAAATAGTTGCTTCAGGGGCCGCCGCACGGGCGGCCAGCGCGAAACGCGCATTGGCGCCTACAAACCTAAGTGGATACTTCAAGCATTGTGCAATGCGTGAAGTATCCACTTAGGTTTGTAGGCGCCAGTGAGCCTCTCGCGCTGGCAGCACGCCGCTCCGCTCTGTTAGGCTTTAATATTTATACTCGCATAGTCAGCGTTTTTTAACTCATAATTTTGAAATGTCTGCACACTCTGCGTTGATTATTCTCATTTAAATTGATGGGAAAAAATATGTATCAATTTATCAAAGGAGAATAATAATATAATGTAGGTTTTTTAAATATTGGTGGTTCCGTGTCAAATTTAACGATTTCCAAAGCACTTTAATTTTTTCTTTTAAATTTTGTGCTTTTATTGTGCTGCAGCGAGGTGTACGCACGACCAAACGCTCAAAATTTGACGTATTTGACTCTAAAAGATCTTGGTTTTTTTTCATATTTTATTCATTTTTACAGTTTCTGTCGGCACAACTGCGGCTCATTGAAATTAATGTCGCTTGGAAAAGGTTTAACAAATATTTGTCAAGTTTTAAAAATATAAATGTTTTCAAAATGAAGTAATAATCTCGTAAAGAAAAAATTAAAAAAATAAAAAAAAGTACCTATACATATTTAAGGTATATTGTACATCGAATATTTTAAGGATAGAAATAAAACCAAATATTCACCAATGACAATTTAAAAAGATGATCTAAAAGGAGAAAGGAATAACAGTTCATTTAGTAAATGAGCAACCATAACAACACCTCTTTCCCTCTCAATTTCTCATTTCCATATTGTCAATATAATTTTGCATATCAACTAACATATAACGCTTGGACCAAGTCACTGTTGCTTATTTTACGTATGGGCGTAAACTACTGGACAAAAGAGGCACACGGACAAAAAATCGATGACAAAATGTCCTGAAACCGTGGTGATCTGGAGAATGCGTTCCCCGTTGCTCACCATACTCACAAGAGTTATCGTGCGGCAGTTCAAGACGACGTCGACGACATTTTTTAGCGAAATAAGGAATTTTTGAAGAAAACACAACTTCCAGGGGAAATGATGAACTTCATTTTTCGACATTTTTCGCCCTGAAATGTACCCTATTTTAAATTTTCGCCCAAATGTCAAAATACTATTTTAAAAAATTAAGTTCAAACTTTGGATTGCTGTTATTGGCGGACCACCTCGGACTACCCACTACTAATGTCTTTATTTGTCAATTAACTGTTTTCACTGAGACTTTGCCACCATTTTACGAGAGAAGGAGGGAGGAAAATGTAAAAATTTTACATACAAATTCTTACATTTTCCTCCCTCTTTCTCTCGTAAAATGGTGGCAAAGTCTTAGTGAAAACATTTAACCTCTGATTGCCAATGAAAGAAATTAGCTGCGGGTAGTTCGAAATATTTTGGCTTCTCATACTACAAAATCCCATGACTAGGCCGTAACAGTTTACAGCATCAGTTGTCTCCAAGTAGTACAGGTTGCAATAGACTGAATTCACGTGGTTAAATAATTTATTGCCACTGCATTAGAGTGTTGTGTAAGTTGCCTATCTACTAATTGAAGGGGCTTCTCTCATTTGAATTCATACCAGTAACATTAAAATAAGCGGCATGTTTTCTTTGCATTGTACATTGCCTACCTCTCTGAAACAGTAGAATGAGGACAAGATATCAATTAAAAGCAAGGTATAACATTTTTTATTCCATCCGAATTATGATTCTTCGTGTCATTCTTTTGAGCATATTTTTACAATATACAATACCTAAATCAAGACCAGGTATGAGGTTAGGATTGACTTTCGAACGTATTAATTAATTATATTATTAATTGTTCAAAATTGGCATTTTTTGACCAAATAATTAAAATATATTCCAATTTTATTTAATTGTATTGCAACTTCATTTCAAAAGTTTTCACTGCACTGTGCTACTTGGATCTGCGGCGATGATGCTTCACGAAACAGATTTAGTTGAATTTAGTTAATACTGCAAATGCAGTTAAGGTCCCTGCAAGTTTCAGAAAATTTCTGCAAGCACTTTCTATACCTACGCAGCGCAGTGTGACGCTTACCATTTCCAATGGTTGGGTTGATTTGCCTCTCCTCCTTAATCGCTTGTCTAGCTAGCGTAACTGCCTCCTGGATGAGTTGAACACTTTCTTCAAGATTCAGATTGAGGTATTTCATAAAGCCAGGAATGCTTGCTTGATAGGTACATGTTTCAATAATATTTGACCCAGCTGAAAGGCGCAGGTGAAAAAAATTAGGAGATACGTCCTGGAACCATTGTGATTAAAATATATATACGAAACCATTAGCTATGGTGATCAGTGGCGTAGCGTGAATAATCGATTATCGATATCTTGCCATTTGAAGCTATGGTAAAGAATCGATTACTAAGATGTTCGCTGCGAACACCCTGATAATCGATCTTTTTTCATAGATTTGAGTGGCGTATCAATCAATATATCGCAAAGCATGCCACGCCACTGATGGTGATGTAGATTGATTTTATCGATAGGCCACAAACCACTAGTTAATTCTGTAGCTTAGTGTAAATGATCACTCGAAGAAAAGCCGAACTCCAACGTTTTAGAACGTTCATATTGCGCCATTAAGGACTGGAGAGTTGATAACATGTGCCCAAGAATTTTCCGGCCAATGAAAATCTTCCTCCGAATTAAGTTTTTTTTCGTTTCCGTGCTTTTTTCCATCGAGTTGGGCGCTGTTCAAAAGAGGGGAATCAGAAGTTATCCCATCAGTCAGAGGACAATGAAGACAGTATACTAATTGGCGACTCTTTTTTCAAAAAACTCAACTTTTCAGGTGGAATCCCTTTATGAGAAAGCTCCTTGATTTTGACTTTTATTTTAGCACTGAGATTTTTTCTCTAGGGCGGCCGTANATTACGTGTGGGCGTAAACTACTGGACAAAAAAGGTGCACGGACAAAAAATCGATGACAAAATGTCCTGAAACCGTGGTGTCTCTGGAGAATGCGTTCCCCGTTGCTCACCATACTCACAAGAGTTACCGTGCGGCAGTTCAAGACGACGTCGACGACATTTTTTAGCGAAATAAGGAATTTTTGAAGAAAACACAACTTCCAGGGGAAATTATGAACTTCATTTTTCGACATTTTTCTTCCTGAAATGTACCCTATTTTCGCCCAAGTGTCAAAATAGTATTTTAAAAAATTAAGTTCAAACTTTGGATTGCTGTTATTTGCGAACCACCTCGCACTACCCACTGCTAATGTCTTCATTTGTCAATTGACTGTTTTCACTGAGACTTTGCCACCATTTTACGAGAGAAGGAGGGAGGAAAATGTAAACATTTTTTACATTTTCCTCCCTCTTTCTCTCGTAAAATGGTGGCAAAGTCTTAGTGGAAACATTTAACCTCTGATTGCCAATGAAAGAAATTAGCAGTGGGTAGTTCGAAATATTTTGGCTTCTCATACTACAAAATCCCATGACTAGGCCGTAACAGTTTACAGCATCACTTGTCTCCAAGTAGTACAGGTTGCAATAGACTGAATTTACGTGGTTAAATAATTTATTGCCACTGCATTAGAGTGTTGTGTAAGTTGCCTATCTACTAATTGAAGGGGCTTCTCTTATTTGAATTCATACCAGTTACATTAAAATAAGCTGCAGGTTTTCTTTGCATTGTACATTGCCTACCTCTCTGAAACAGTAGAATGAGGACAAGATATCAGTCAAAAGCAAGGTATAACATTTTTTATTCCATCCGAATTATGATTCTTCGTGTCATTCTTTTGAGCATATTTTTACAATAGACAATACGTAAATTAAGACCAGGTATGAGGTTAGGATTGACTCTCGAACGTATTAATTAATTATATGCTTAATTGTTTAAAATTGTCATTTTTCGACCAAATAATTAAAATATATTCCCATCTTATTTAATTGCATTGCAACTTTATTTCAATAGTTTTCACTGCACTGTGCTACTTGGATCTGCGGCGATGATGCTTCATGAAACAGATTTAGTTGAATTTAGTTAATACTGCAAATGCAGTTAAGGTCCCTGCAAGTTTCAGAAAATTTCTGCAACACTTTCTATACCTACGCAGCGCAGTGTGACACTTACCATTTCCAATGGTTGGGTTGATTTGCCTCTCCTCCTTAATCGCTTGTCTAGCTAGCGTAACTGCCTCCTGGATGAGTTGAACACTTTCTTCAAGATTCAGATTGAGGTATTTCATAAAGCCAGGAATGCTTGCTTGATAGGTACATGTTTCAATAATATTTGACCCAGCTGAAAGGCGCAGGTGAAAAAAATTAGGAGATACGTCCTGGAACCATTGTGATTAAAATATATATACGAAACCATTAGCTATGGTGATCAGTGGCGTAGCGTGAATAATCGATTATCGATATCTTGCCATTTGAAGCTATGGTAAAGAATCGATTACTAAGGTGTTCGCTGCGAACACTCTGATAATCGATCTTTTTTCATAGCTTTGAGTGGCGTATCAATCGATATATCACAAAGCACGCCACGCCACTGATGGTGATGTAGATTGATTTTATCGATAAGCCACAAACCACTAGTTAATTCTGTAGCTTAGTGTAAATGATCTCTCGAAGAAAAGCCGAACTCAAACGTTTTAGAACGTTCATATTGCGCCATTGAAGGACTGGGGAGTAATTGATAACATGTGCCAAAGAAGTTTCCGGGCAATGAAAATCTTCCTCCGAATTAAGTTTTTTTCGTTTCCGTGCTTTTTTCCATCGAGTTGGGCGCTGTTCAAAAAAGGGGAATCAGAAGTTATCTCATCAGCCAGAGGACAATGAAAGCAATATACTAATTGGTGACTCTTTTTTCTAAAAAATCAACTTTTCAGGTGGAATCCCTTTATGAGAAAGCTCCTTGATTTTGACTTTTATTTTAGCACTGAGATTTTTTCTCTAGGGCAGCCGTAAACAATTATGGAAATTACGTTTGAGTATACGTACAGTCATACCTCTGACATAATCTCTATGCGAATTTTTGATGGCCTCTTTATTCGTGACTAAGAACCGGGCGCACCATAGGGGATCATCCTTTTCAACATCTGTAATGTCTACATGGTTGGCTAACTGCGTGGCAACACCACCATCTAGAAGAGTAACACCCATGGTTTACTTCACAGAGCAAACTGACTCTGAAACAGTCATAATTATAATTCCTACGCGGAATGGAAGTTTAATACCTTTGAAATGAAGTTATGAAATTTGGTCGAAATACATAGGTGCAATTTTATTTTTAAGGTGTTGCACATTTTAGCTATTCCCGCTATCGTGAAATCACCCAGCTGAAGTTTATTAAATCCATTTTTATATTTATTAATTTAAATATGTATAAGTACTGTTTTATAAGTACAAGACGCTAGGCTTAATCACCCCTTTAGTTATGAGTTGGGCCAAAACTTCATGAAGCAAGAAGTGATGGAGGTAAAATACACAATTTAGGTTAATTTTGGCAGGTTTTTAGAATTTCTGTTTGAGATGATGAAGGTGCTTTCTTATACTTACTGAAATGGAATGGAGTTTATATCTTGCGATTAAACTCAAAAAAAGTAAATTGAAGTCGTATTTAATGAAATTTACCTTTGATTTGCCGGTCAGCTTATTAAATGGAGTATCGCGCTGTAAAACCTTCACAACTGATTGTGACTCACGATCTCTATGGATGTATAATGGTCGTTATGTAGGTACTAGGGATGTGTATTTTCTCACAAAATAAGTGTTTGAAACTAAGCAGCTTATTACAAGTTACCTATACCTGCTACTGAACTGATCGAAGTTCAAACAGAGACGCGAGCGTATTATCACTGTGTTATCAGAGGGCAAAGCTCAGGCTTAACTACACCTGACTCCCCCATCTTTGAATGAAAATTAGATGATCTAGGTGTTTACCAAATTACTTGATGGACATTTTCGCAGAACATGTATTGTGCGCACCAGTTGAAATTCTCGAGGAGCGTAAAATAAAGTTTATTGAAAATGAAATCACCCAAATGAAAATTGTCGATAATAGGAACAGAAAGGAAACGGCATGAAAATAACGGCCACCTATGTAATTTTGGACGCTGAATCTGAAAATGATCTTGGTTTTTCTTCATCGTGCACACATTTTCTGGAAAATTGACTTTCTCTAGGTAAGTTTGAATTTTAGGGAAAATCGACTTGACCCTTGCAGAAAAACAAAGGTCATTTTCGGAATCAGCGATAAAATCTACTCGCGATCAGTAAATGTCTTGCAGGCAAATTTACGCGTGTTGACCAGTGTTATTCTCTAAGTACCTGTACTGTCCGAGTATTTTTGAATTTTTATAAGAGCAGATTTATGGAAACAGACTGCTACAACTAGTCCTGAGGTAACATAGGGATTAAAAAATTACTTGAACCACGGTTAAATGAAATACCTATAATTTTATTTTAATAAATATTCAATATTTACAGAGCACTGTACAATTTCCTTTGGCACCTAAGTAGGACCTTCATGAAGGGAGAATTCTTCGAAATAACATTCAAAATGCATCAATAAACAATGAACATATAAGGACCCAATTTACAAAGTATTGTACAATACTGTAAGCAGAGCTGTACACATTTACAATGCAATGAAAACGTAGGAAATGATTCATTGGTTTGAATTCAAATAATTAAAAAAACATATTCAAACAAAAATTATGAATAGAACAGTGAAAATAATAATAAAAAAACCTACACTAACAAATCTCTCATGATGCTTTTTTTCAATTGGTTTTTAAATCCAAAACTAGCCTCGAGTTCTCTACGTTATACAACCTGCAAATTTATTTCACTTTCAAAGTATTATTTTTGAAAATTTTTATAACTTTTGAAGAGGAGGGAATAAACACGAAAAATATAAAATTTTAGTTTTGAAGCATCGCTTCAGAGGCTTTCCAGATTTTCCATACCAAAGCAATATCTGTTTTTCACTTATGAATCTGACTGCATCTTCCAATTAGGAACTAAAAATTCTGGCTCATAAATGAAAAACATCTATCTGCATAGGGTATTAAACGGGACATACGTTGTTCTTAAACGAACCAGAAATCTTAGTTCTAAATTGCAAAATGTGGTAAAATTACTATAGAACTGAAAGAAACTTAGGAAGTAACTAGGATTAGATTTTCACAACTAATAATGAAAAGTGTTTTTTTTTTTTGTCAAATAGGTTTTAGCAGGGGTGCAGAATGTTCACTAACCAACGACCAATCGGTCGCTCTCAAACAGCGAAGGCAGCCCCTCGTCAATGTGAGTCAGCCTGACATCAGACTGTTTCATAAACTACCCTGAGTCAAACTGATTCAGGGTAGTTTATGGAACATAGTCTGACGTCAGGCTGGCTCACTTTAATTGGAAAATTGCGCAGTGTGCGACCTTAAATAATGGATGATTTACAATTTATTAAGTTTTGATAAAAATGCGCTCCATTTTTACGTGCACCACCCGACGCACAATGGATCGAGTCAATAGAAGAGGTCGGACAAAATGTGTAAACTTTAAACGCTTATAACCCCGTTTATACAAAACTTTGGGGTCCTGAAAATGGTTTCATTGGTTTTCTCGTGAAATTTTCTTGCAGAAGCACCCCTAGAACTTTAAAATGTGACGAAATTAACATCAAAATTTGCATTTTTTGTCAAAAATTTCATGTCCGACCTCTCTAATTGACTCGACCCACTGTGCGACGTTGCAACAGCGCTCTAAGCAATTTGGAGCTTTCAATTAGCGCGATTTGCGAGTCAAAAGCCGAAATTGAGATCTAGAGATCGAGTTCCTCACTGGCGCACACTGGATCGAGTCAATCAGAGAGGACGAGTGTGAAATGTTTAATTAAAACTTCAAATTTTGATGTTTGGTTGGTCTAATTTTGAATTTTAAGGGGTGCCTGTAAAAGAAAATTTCACGAGGAAACCAATTGAACCACTATTAAAACCTCAACGTTTTGTATGGATGGAGTTATAAGCTTTAAAAGTCTCCAAAATATGTCCGACCTCTCCCACGGACTCGATCCACTGTGCGGCGATCTCGGGGAGACGACGCAACGCTTGAAGTATCATTGCAGTTTCGCAGGCGCTTCCCGCGATGGTTTTCCGCGCTGGGTTCGTAAAATATAAACAATGTAATGTGCCTGTGAGGTTGAGCTGATTTTACCCAAACATAAATTCTTTTACCTCTTTGAAAGCTGTGTAGGCACTAGGTCTTGCTCTGACAGAAATGTATTTTAAAGAATGAACACTCAACGCACAGATTATTACGAAACTTATGACAAGGATGTTGAAATTCTTTATGTCGCTGATTTTTAAAAAACTAGTGCTGAAGCGTTGAATTTTTTAGAAACTGAATGCGACCGCGATTAATTGTTAGAGAATTACTGCGGACGCGCTATGTTTTGGTGGAATTTAATAAGATCCAGCAATAATACAGTGCGTAGGCTATATTCCTGGTTGCTCGAAACTGCGTGAACCGAAGAAATTTCTGCACCCCTGAGTTTTCATTGAAGATGCTTCTTCAAACCAAAATAAAATGTATTATTTCGATGATATAATCTGTAGTAGCGAAGACAAAAAACATAGATCTGGGGAGGAAAAGAGAAAAAAAAGAAAAAAACTCAGTCTTTACATGAAAGAGATGACGGTTGTGGCTTCATACTAGGTTTTTCATCGTGCGTTATTGTTTTATGGGAAAACCAAGCAACGCCCCGACTTAAAATATTGTGAATATTCTTTAAATTTCACGGAACGCTCACGAAAAATCAAGGGGGGCGTTGCTCAGTTTTCCTTACACAAGTAAAACATCGAATTAAACAAGGCAATGTGAAATGTAGTTAGGCTAGTACTGGCTATTTTTTATCATCGCTCCTCTGACGTAAAAGTAAGGCGTACATCTCTTTTTTTATAAAAGCCCCGGAAACCATAGAGTTTTATAGGGCGTAGGGCTCACGTTAAAATTGAGATAAGCCCTTACGTCAAAGCAGTGACGATATGACCAGTTAAAACTTGGATCAGATGAAGTTATCGACTTACTTTGATGGCAAGTAAAATGACATTTTATGACAGTTTTTCAGCATTTCTCCCGTCCTCTGTAATATTTTTATTTAATAACAAGAAACTGACCGACGATTTAACAAGGACATTTAAGAGTGTATTTTTGATAAGAAAAAACCACAAATTGTTTGAAAAATTTTGGTCAGCTCTTCCGAAGTAATAAAAGTAAAATGTGATAAGCAATTTGCAACATCATTAACTACAAAAAGTGTTTTGTTCTAAAATTACATCAATTACATCATTAACCGGTAGCTTATGAAAAAACCTTGCAAGAGTTCTATTGCAGGGTATTACCGGAAAAAGGGCATTTTCAGTGCCTTGCACTCAATTTAACAGGGATTTTCAAAGTCAGTGTAGGCAAGCAGTTGTTGACTATGAACACAGGAAAAAGTGCAATTTAATATGATAATAATATACATTAAAAAAATAAGCAGGTAATGATGGTCAGGAACTTGAAAAATTAGTTAAGAATACCTACAAAGGAAAAATGTTGACCACGGGCTTACAAATTTTTCATTAAAATAATCGATGCCTAGGTAAAAATCACAACATTGGGTACACAGAGTCTCAATCGGAATAATATTTTTTCCAGGGAAACTTAGTATTCACAAATCATTGATGGTCAGCACGCACCTGATCACTTAAACTTTCTCACCGAATTCGAGGTGTGTTCTGATTAGATTTTGGATTGTTCTAATTAGATTTTCTGATTGGATTTCAATTGTTCTGTTTCTAATTAGAAACCGGATTATGGTGATAACGAGCCAACCTTGCTCCGGAATTAGGCTCTCACGTCCCTTGCGTCCCATAAACGGGACTGGAACAAAGCATCCTAGATTACATTGTGACCAAAATACTCTGAGAATTTGGAGATAAATATGAGAATTTACTCTTTCTCCGCAGAAAATCTGTTTTTAATCAGACGAAATTTAGCAACGACGAGCCGCTTAAACGTTGTTTTTGCACGGTACGGCTAACTTATCGTTGAATTTTGGAAATCTTGATGCATTAATGATGCACATTCAATTTCATTTTCCGAGATATTTATTATTATTATTATTCACTCACAATAAAACTAGAAAATTGAGGAGCAAAGTGACAGAATCCCAATTTGCATGGTCATCCGTTGGTCGTGCTCTTATGCTAAGATTTGAGGTATGATTGAAAGCTAGTTCTCTGTATGGGCTCAGCTCTTTTCGGCAGTTTTCCGGTGAAAATCAGAATTAGTGTGTATTGTTAGTGTGTTAAACGAGTTTCAAGATCAAACTCTACCTTGCTTTCTAACCCTTTTGCAGAATTCTACTGTAAAAAAAAATATTGCCTTTCCAGCTATCTGAATGATAAAGTTCAATCAGATGGCTCCAACTTACTTACATTGATCAAATGAACAAATACTCAGATTTCTTAATTTGATAATCTTTTAACTAATAATTTACTTTCAGGGATACATAAATGAAAATAAACACAATTGCCTACTTACTAATAATGTGAGTACTTATATATAAAAAATTTCAATGATCACAGTCAATTTAACTTTAAAACAAGTTTTGAACAAAAACTAACCAGTAATTTAAGTCGTGGAAATGCTCATTAAAATTAGACACAACACACCAAATAAAAATGTGATAATTAAATTAAGAAATTTTAGGTTTTACACTGAATATAAAATCAAACGGTTAAGTTAAATCAATAGGTAGACTAATGAAAATATCTCGACGAGTAAGACAGAGAGAGGGAGTGATAAGGGAGGGGAGAGAAAAAAATTAATTTCAAAGTAATTCATTAGTTTGAAATTTAAAAATAAGAATGCATATGGCTCTTGAAGACTTACATGAGTAAAAGGAACATCGAAAGTTTCCTGGAAAAAGCGGTGGTTAACAAACAATAAAAATTTTGCAGTTCTTAAATATTAGAAATGAGCAGTTATTGACCTCTTGAGTGCCATGCTGATGATGATTGCGTAATTTTATCACAATTTTAAACTCCAAAGTTTTTGCTGTGGGTGTAATTATATCTATTGTTTAATTTTCTAAACAGGCACATATTTTACTATCGATTTTTACAAATGCACCGAATACCTACACAGGACCAACTGAATTATTGTAAGTGCAAGTCGCTGTTGGTTAGAACGGATTTACGTAGCACACTCTGTAACTTTTTAAAGTAGATTACGGTGAAAATCGAACGTGGTAAATAAGTAAGTCGTAACGAGATTGAAACTAAATTAATATTCAGTTGTTTGATTCACGAGAGTTGAAAATAGAATACTGAAACACATTATTCTTTACAAGTTATTTCTTTTCAGCCGCACATTATATTGTATTTACCCTACAAGTGTTCTGCAACCAAAATCGGCAACTTCTACGCACGCAAGTCATACTTAGGTACAGCTACTAAAGGGTTGTCAACATAATTTGGCTTATGTCAACCATTGATATTATAACAAAACAATTTTGAAGTTTATGCAGAATTTAAGTTGCTCTTAAATTTGGAATCATAATAAAATTGAACGATGAAGTAGGCTTTTAACTTTTAAGTGAAAAAAAAGCAAGATTGGTTTTTTTTTCCAGAAACAGCATAACCGTTTCCATTCGTTAATGGCGAATACAAGATAGATAACTGACTTCTATCATTAATCTGCTTCATCTTAACATGTATCGTCATTAGTTTTTACAGGAAGCCAAAATTTCGATTTTTTTTATGAGTATGCTCAAAGCACCTGTTCTGGTTGAGACAACACTCGAGGTTTTCAGTTTTGTAATGCTCAACTAAGGAAGTATAAAGCATCCGATTACGGAATGCGTCTTAAAAACAAAATTCAAAGTAAACTTTCAGAAACTTCCGCGATGAATCGTGGGTTTGTCCATCGAACCGCGAAAATATTGCATATGCATCACGTTTCAATGAGAAAAAAAGGCACCTAATCTCCTCGCCGATAAATCTGAAAACCATAATACGCAAATTAGTAGAGGAAAAAAAATATATAAAAACTCAAAGAAGCAACTCTCTGCGTTCAATATTAACCGAGATAATGCTCTTTGAAAAATTCAGTTGACGGGTCTCAGGACATTCCGTCAACGATTTTTTGTCCGGGCACTTGTTTAGTCCAGTAATTTACGCCCACGCGTAAAATAAGAAACAGTGACTTGGTCCAAAGGTTATATTTCAGTCCGTATGTAAAATTATATTGACAATATCGAATTAGAAAATTGAGAGAGAAGAAGGTGTTGTTATGGTAACTCAATTTTTAAATGAAATGTTACTTTTTTCTTTTGATTCATCTTTCAAATTTTCATTGGTGAATATTTTAAACTGGTGAATATATAAACACGTCCAATTTTGAGCGTTTGGTTGCGAATACACCACGCTGCAGCTCAGTAAAAGCACAAAATATAAAAGAAAAATTAAAAGGCTTTGGAAATCATTACATTAGATACGGAACCACCTTAATATTTTCAAAACAAACGTTATATTTTCCTTGAATACATATTTTTTTTCATCAATTTAAATGAGTATAATCCGTACAGAGCGTGCAAACATTTCAAAATCATGAGTTGGAAAACGCTGACTCCGCGAGTTTAAATATTAGAGCCTAACACAGCGAAATGCGCACTGGCGCCTACAAACCCAACGGGATACTTCACGCGTTGCGCAATGCGTGAAGTATCCCTGTTAGGTTTGTAGGCGCTAGTGCGCGCGTCACGCTGGTCGCCCGTCGCGCCGCGGAGTGCTACGGCGTTTTAAGCAACTATTTCGAGACGTAGGTGTTGCAAAGTATCATACGAGATTGAAGGCGCTCCAACGTATCAAGAATGACAAGCTTCCTTTAAGGGCTGTAGCTTTCCTTGCAAAATAAATCAAGATACCACGTTACAAAAAGAGAGCAATAATTATCGATCGTTTTTTTAGATTATAATCTAAAAAAAAAAAACTCACTTGGTCCTAGCATCCGTATTTAATAACGTTTGGTATAATTTTTGAATTTCATTAGAGGAAAATGTCACTCGATACAGGCAGAAACATTCCTGAGTATGCCGTCAAGAATATTTTATTTTGAATGAATAATAAAATAGTTGATTGAAAGCGGGTTTCTGCTTGATTTAAGTGACTTTTCTTTTTATCGAAGCATTCTTTTTTCTCTAAACAGGCATTATTTTCTCTATTGATTTATAAGGAAATCTTCTCGGCGGTAAATTTGAGCATATTTCTGCTTGAATCAAGTTACTTGTTCCTCTAATTAAGTTCAAAAATCATGCTAAACGTTACTGGATCCAGATACTAGGACTTAGCAAGTTTTTCGACTACAGCTCTCTTTTTCTCGCCGTCACTCGATTTAATTAGCGAGGGAACTTCGTGCTTTTGAAAGATGCTATCAATCATGATACGTTGGGATACCTTCAATCTTGTAGGTATGACACTGTGCAACATCTCCGTGGCGGAATAGTAGTTTGAAGCGCCGCGGCACGCCGGCGCCGTCGTGAAGTTATTGTGCACAGGAAAAATCTAAGAGCCTTTAGCTGAGGAAAATCAAAAGGTTCATCCGGTTCAAGTATAAGAAGATGAGATTTTCTTGAAAAATCATTAAGTATATTGTTGCACCAAAGAGATGTAGAGAGTTTTAGTGGATTTTCCCTCATGGAATTGACTCTCCTCCAATTTCACCGATTATTCATATTATACATTTATCTTTGTTGGACCGAAAAAAAAAACCAAACCCTCATTCTTCCGGGAAATTTTTACATTTTCATCCAAAACGTCGTGAGCATTTGTCGTTTGTATTTACATATGATCCAATTCACTTTGGGTCTCAAAAATTGGTAAGTGGACCAAAGCTGCCCTGCCAAAAAAACGCGTGGACTTAAACTATTGAGAAAAACTAGTGCTCGGACAAAACATCGTTGACGAAATGTCCTATAACTAGGTGACGATATCCACCGTGATAGTGACACCCTTGGTTGCTTCAACCTTGCTTTCATCCAAGTTTCACGTTGATTAACTAGTGCATATGTGTGTTTTCCTGATTCATAAAAGCAAGGTGGAAGAGACCGAGGGTGTCACTACCGCGGTGGATGACGTCAAAAACCGAATTTTTCGAAGCGCGATATCTCGATTAATATTGACCGCAGAGAGTTGCTGTTTGGGCAGATCTTATTATTTTGAGCTAAGCTGCAAGAATCAAGCATCAAAGCACAATTCTGTGGCTGGCGAAAGTTACCAATTCATTCGCTGGATGGATTTGCTTTTTTAAGAGGCTCCAATGGAGATTTGAACTGAGCTGATAAGAATGGAACCAATCATTTTGGGGAAATATAAGTTTCGAATAGTTAAATGCTTTCCTAGCTGCATACATTCTCTTATCAACAATTTAAAGTCAGGAGATAATATTTTAAATGTAAAAATGGCGTTGAGCTGTTCAGTTGCGCTGGTCGCAGAATTGTATTTTAATTCTTGATTCTTGTAGATTAGCTGAAATTAATAAGATCTTTCCAATCAGCAACTTCCTGCGTTCAATAATAACCGAGGTATTGCCCTCTGAAATGTCGGGTGTTTGACGTCATTCACCGCGGTAGTGACACCCTTGGTTTCTTCTACTTTGTTTTCAGCAGTCATTTTGCCGTACATTTTCACTGGTTACTCCACGTGAAACTCGGACGAAAGCAAGATGGAAGAAACCAAGGGTGTCACTGCCGCGGTGGATGACGTCAGAACCCGACTTTTCAAAGGACGATATCTCGGTTAATATTGAACGTAAAAAGTTACTGTTTAGACAAATCTTATTATTTTCTAATCTACAAGAGCCAAGCATTAAAATACGATTTTGTGACCAGCGCAACTGACCCATTCCCTGACAACTGAAGATACGTCAGATGGTTGACGGGGCATAACTGAAAAAAAATTTTCAGGCAAAATGTCAGTTCATAGCGGAGAAATCATTCTAGACAGAGAAAATTTGGTGACCCAACAATTTTTCCTTGACATTTGTAGGTTTTCCTTCACTTTTTAAGATTTCCTGACATTCCCCGGTTTTCCCTGATTGTGGCGACCCCGCGAAACTAATTCGACTGTCTCAGGGGGATACTCTCCCTACACAGACATTCTGAAGGAATGAGCTTGACAAAGAGGAGTTGGTGGGTTTTGGCTTACCAGAAAATGGAGGGAGACTAGGATGCTGACTAGTATAGTGGGAGGAAAAGAGCTAAACTCGGAGGCGGACGGAGAGCAGCGGCTGGCAGATAATGGTCAACGTTGCTTCGACGTCGATTGTATCGGAGGGCACCCGAAGACGTGGCGCCAGTTGGGGAGGCGCACGCCGAGTCGCTCGCACTCGTGCGCGTACGCGATGAAAGACTCGCAGTAGCACTTCTCCTTCGGACACTCGCACATGTCCTGCACGCACGATCTGAAAACCACAAGAGCACATTTCAATCCGCTAGTTACCCACAGAGTCCCTTTACACTCAGAGTTAAGACAATGCGAATCCATTTCTGATTGGTCACCGTATTTTGGGCCTCCCCAGTGTCACAAACGGTAAAAAAGATTACATCTTCACCAATTGCAAAGATTCAAAATCTGCCGAGGTTTTTGACCTATACCCAATGCGATATATCGCATGCCAGTTCGACCACGTCACTTGAACTCGAAGAATCACCTTGAGAATCTTCTTTAGTGCCACTAGCCGTATATTTTCTCCTGCCTACAACTCAAAGTAGAAAAACAGAAATTGGTTTGTGAAAAGAGGGGTTTCAGTTTATTTTCTACATGGAGCCGTATGCAGGAATAAAACCAGATCCTGACTACCACCAAGGAGGGCTCAGGTTTCTTATCGTTTTTTCTTTGAAATTTTTATTGTTTCCGACTGAAAATGACTCTGTTTTGAGTCGAAACGTCCCGGGTTTTATTAATTGTGTATTTTTAGCCTTGTTTCCCGTTTTCCCTCCTCGTTTTTCCACTGAAATATTGGGGGGGGGGACGAAGGGGCGGTTCCAGTGAGGATTCAATGTCGGCACTTACTTCATATAGGGGTTAACGAGGAGCTTGGAATGGCAAGCGGTGAAGGCGTTGGAGAGTAGGTGGCGGCAGTACTTGTCCTTGATGGGTTTTTTGGAGGTTAGGTGGCAAGGCTGGGTGGACGCCGCAGGGAAACGCGAGCGGAACGGCGGGCGGGAGCAGGCCTTGGTAGTGCCCACGCGCCACGACTCGCCGAACTTCACCTCGGCGAATGCCTCGTCGTCGTGCAGCAACCGCCCCGATCGGGTCGTCAGGTCGTCTCGCGCCACTTTGTTGAAGTTTCCGCACAACCCACATAGCCGACCTGCAAAAAAATAACACAACTTACACTTCAAATTCGCTGAAACCATCATATTCGTTCGAACAATGAGTCTGCTCCAATGCTCGAAAGGTAAATCGGTGCGCCTTCATTTGTTTGCGTATGCCACACGGATATCCACGGAGCAGGAATAGTGGCATGGAGGAGGTGGAAGGTAGAGTACCCTTCTGCAGGGTTATCAATGAGTTTGCTCCAATGTTCGATAGGTAAATCGGTGCGCCTTCATTTGTTTGCGTATGCCACACGGATATCCACGGAGCAGGAATAGTGGCATGGAGGATGTGGAGGGTAAAATGCCCTTCTGCAGGGTTGCCACAGAATTTGGAAAATAAATTCCCTGACATTTCCCTGATTTCCCTGGCATATTTTGGTGAAATTCCCTGATAATTGAACAAATGACCGACTGTGAAAAAGACATACACTACAGTTAAGACGGAATGCCGATTGAGTCGAATTTTTTTCGGTCCTCAGACACGTCCATTAGTTACTTAAATGGAAAATTGGTTGAGAGGAATTGCCGCTTGAGGCGATTTTTTTCACGGCCCCTACAATATTCGACTTAGCGAGCTTTCACTGTAGTCCAGGCATTATAGGAAAAATAGAAAAAAAAATTTATATATAAGGTTTTATGTGCCCAAGTTGTTCATTGGGGTGCCAGGGACTCCCAGCAAAAAGTCCCCAAGAATCCCCTGTACGCTCGACCCCCCGCCCCCCCAAAACCCCCAAAAAATCGACCTTTCCTCGGTTTTTCGTAAATATCTCAAAAAGAATTGGTTTTAGCGAAAAATGAGTTATCTAGTGAATAAAAGTTCATAAAATTTCTAATAAAAATGACTTCTATGAATTTTTTTGTAAAACGACTTTGAACCCCTCAAAATGGCTGCCGAAAAAACGGGCATTTACGGAAATTTCAGTTTTTTCCCGAAAATGCCCATTTTTCTTTGAAACGGCTGTTCTCATGGAAAAGTTAATGGCGGATTCTGAAAGAGCGTTGAATTTCACATCAGAAACGATTAAAATCGATCATTTTAGACTCACAGTCGATCTACGGAAATACGATATATCGAAGCTCTTCCGCCCG